AAAAAAAAAAAATAAAAGGGAGAAAATCTTTATTGGCAGAAAACCAAGAGGAGTTATTTATGACATATGAAGATGGAAAATGAATATATGTTACATATTTGTTGATTTTATTCCTTCTATTTATTATTTTTGGTGTTTTTGTGATTGCATGAAGTATTTCTCCATTTATTTGGATCTTTCATTTCTCTCAGCAATCTTTTTTTAAAAATGTATTTTATTGATTTTTACAGAGAGGAAGGGAGAGGTATAGAGAGTTAGAAACATTGATGAGAGAGAAACAGCAATCAGCTGCCTCCTGCATGCCCCCTACTGGTGAGCGAGCCAGCAACCAAGGTACATACCCTTTATCAGAATCGAACCCAGGACCCTTCAGTCCACAGGCTGACACTCTATCCACTGAGCCAAACCAGTTAGGGCTCAGCAATCTTTTTTAGTTTTCACTGTACATGTCTTGTATTACTTTTAATAAAATAATTTTAATTTATTAAGATTAAGAAATTAAATGGGGGTGAGGGGGTGGGCTAGAAGGGGTCAATGGGGAAAAAAGGAGGCACATGTAATACTTTCAACAATAAAGATTTAATTTAAAAATGTATTTTATTCTTTTTGAAGCTTTTGTAAATGAAATTGATTTTCTTATTTTAACTTTATTTATTGTTAATACTAGAGGCCCGGTGCACGAAAATTTGTGCACTGACGGGGGCAGGGGGGAGGGAGTGTCCCTCAGCCCCACTTGTGCCCTCTCACAGTCTGGGACCCTTTGGGAGATAACGACCTGCTGGCTTAGGCCCGCTCCCAGGTGGCAGAGGGCAGGCCCAATCCCTAGGTGCAGCCCCTGGTCGGGCTCAGAGCAGGGCTAATTGGGGAGTTGGGGCGCCACCCCCTGTCAAGCACAGAGCAGGGTGGATCGGGAGGTTGCGATGCCACCCCCAGTCATGCTCAGGGTAGGGCCAATTGGGGGGGTTGGGGCACCGCCCCCTGTCACAGTCAAGGCAGGGTCGATGGGGAGGTTGCGGCGCCACCCCCTGTCATGCACAGAGCAGGGCCGATCAGGGGGTTGGGGAGCTCCCCCCTGTCACGCAGAGTAGGGCCGATAGGGGAGTTGGGGCACTGCCCCCTGTCACACACAGAGCAGGGCGGATCAGGGGGTTGGGGAGCTCCCCCCTATCAGGCACAGAGCAGGGCCAATCAGGGGGTTGAGGCGCCTTCCCCTGTCACCAACAGAGCAGGGCGGATAGGGAGGTTGTGGCCCCTGTCACACACAGAGCCGCAGGGCGATCAGAGGGTTTGGGCGCTGCCCCCTGTCATGCTGCTCCAGGGGCCAGGAGGCCTCGCAGCTCCACTGATCCCAGTGCTGGGAGGCCTCGCAGCTCCGCTTGACACGGGGCAGTGAGGCCTCGCTGCTCAGCTGATCCCAGTGCCAGGAGGCCTCGCAGCTCCACTGATCCCAGTGCCAGGAGGCCTCGCAGCTCTGCTGATCCCGGGTTCGGGAGGCCTCATGGCTCCACTGATCCTGGTGCTGGGAGGCATATTACCCTTTTACTATATAGGGTAGAGGCCTGGTGCACGGGTGGGGGCCTGCTGGTTTTCCCTGAAGGGTGTCCCAGATTAGGGTGGGGGTCCTGCTTAGGTGCCTGGCCAGCCTGGGTGAGGGGCTGATGGCTGTTTGCAGCTGGTCACACCCCCTTCAGGGTGGGGTCCCCACTGGGGTGCCTGGCCAGTCTGGGTGAGGGACTGAGGGCCGTTTTCAGGCTGGCAGGCGACTGAAGCTCCCAACCTCTTCTTTTTTTCTTTTTTTTTCATTCTGGGATTTATTTACCTTCTATGGCTGTCACTGGAACTGAGAGCCGGCTTTAGCTCTGAGGCTCGGCTCCAGCTCTGAGACCTCTGCTGCTGATCTGGGTTTTTTTGGCTTCTATAATTGAAACACTGTTTCATCTCCAGCTCTGAGGCCGGCCGGCTTATTTAGCTTCTATAATTGCAACATAGTTGCTTAGAGTGCAGCTCAGAGCTGGGCGGTGGCAGGCGGCGAACCTTGGCTTCCTCCGTCACTGGAGCAAGCAAGCCTCCTGTTCGCTTCAGCTGCCTGGCTGCCGGCCGCCATCTTGGTTGGCAGTTAATTTGCATATCTCGCTGATTAGCCAATGGGAAGGGTAGCGAAGTTACGGTTAATTATCATGTTTCTCTATTATTCGATAGGATATAAAAATGTAATGTGTTTGGTATATTTATCTTGCATTCTGTTAGCAATTTATTGTACATTTCAATCCAGAATTTTTCTTGTTAAATATATGTTATATTTCTTCATCGATAGTCTATCTGAGTCATCATTGTTTTCATACTCTCCTTTAATTCTTAAATGTGAGACTTATTCTTTGACATATTTGATGTTCATTGTTTTCCAGCTTTGAAGCTTTTCTGCAATGTTTGACACTTGAGCCACGTCAAAGGCAGTTTACGTGAACTTCTTTCTTCCCCCGTGTGTAGTCACACTTCCCTTATTCTTTTTATGTCTCCTCTTATGTTGCTGAAAAATGCACGATGACATATTGAGTCTGATCTCCCAACAGTCACTTTTGCTGCTCTTTATTTCTTTGTATGCTTGTTTAGTGACTTGCCTGGAATAATTCTGTACAGTGTGACTCCCCCACAGTATGTGGCCACAGATATCTTTGCTAGTTTTTTTTTTATTCTTATTTTTCTTTTTAAGATTTTTTTTAAAGGGAACATTTGTATGTCAACATAGTTTAGTAAATTGTGTTTGTCAAACACTGAGACTGGAAGGCTTCTACCCTTTTTTAAAAAATATATATTTTATTGATTTTTTTACAGAGAGGAAGGGAGAGGGATAGAGAGTTAGAAACATCGATGAGAGAGAAACATCAATCAGCTGCCTTCTGCACACTCCCTACTGGGGATGTGCCCCAACCAAGGTACATGCCCTTGACCAGAATCAAATGTGGGACCCTTGAGTCTGCAGGCCGACGCTTCATCCACTGAGCCAAACTTGTTAGGGCACTTCTAGCCTTTGCCAATGGATCTTTGTTTGTGTTGGGTGTGCATGGAAAGTCCAGGAAGTTTTCCCTGAACTTTCCTTTCCTCTCCACTTTCTTGCGTCTTTTCACAGCATGTGCACAAGCATCATATTCATCCAGGGACCTGCAGAACCCTGGAGCTGGTCATTTCTGGTCTCTTTTGAGCATGCGTGCAGCCTTGCACCTGTGTGCATCCTTCCAAACGATCAGGGAGATGTGGAATATTCTGATGGTTCACTGTGGTCATCTTATTCACAGGCTCTCCCTCTAAATGTGGTTACTGGTCTCGAGGTATGTTGCTTCCCCCATCCAGTGTGACACCCTCAGGCCAGCTGGGAAGTTAGGCTTTCCATGTGTTTGCCTTTGAGTTGGCTATTGTTTCTGGCGATATGGCCCCTGAGTTTGTGTTTTGCCCCTAATCCTCTCTAAATCAAGTTGGCCACCTCCAGCAGAACAGCTTCTGATTCCATGGCTCTCGCTGCCCTGCTTCCCCGCACTCAGAGTACTGGCTGGCTGGTTAGAATCACAGCTGTGCTTCTGCCAGGTTTAGTGGTTTTTCTAGAAGAAACACTTCTTAGTTTGTTACATGCCTTCGATCCATTTCCAGAATCTTAACATGGTTGTCTTTGAAAAAAAATAATTGTTCATCCCAGCCAGTGTGGCTCAGCGGTTGAGCATCGACTCAGGAACCACCAGGTCAGCGATTGATTCCCAATTAGGGCAGATGCCTGGGTTGCAAGCTCAATCCCCAGTGGGGGGCGTGCAGGAGGCAGCTGATCCATGATGTTTCTCTCATCGATGTTTCTATCTCTCTATCCCTCTCCCTTCCTCTCTCTCCACAAATCAATAAAAACATTTAAAAAATTGTCCAGTGTCATCGCTGTTTTGGGAGAGAGGATTAGGTAGCCTCCTCACTTCAATGTTCTGGAGGTTCCCCATACGAGAGATATTAGGGGGTCAAGTTGGCTGCAGCACCTTTTGTCTGCATGGCACTCAGGTGCGTGGTGAACATTCCACTTACAGAAGGCCATGGTGTCATGCACAGAACTACAAAACCTCAACAACAGCTTAAACGGGCCTTGGAGGCCTAGTAGGTGGTGGTGTAGCAGAGCGAAGTACTGGAGCTTGCTTGAGCGCACATCTGTGTAACATGGTGGGAGGAGGGGAAGAAAGATCCCAGGTTACCCAGAAGTTCTCAAAGAGGCTGTTATTCTGAAAATGCTGGCTGGCACCAGCACATAGGAACCTGGTGTTTCAATGAATAATAAGTTCTGACGCATCCATGACTGAATTGGAGATTTGCAGACGCTGCAGGCATGAGTAAACTACGTCATTACCAGGTTATCAGCCTCCAAATATGTTACTAGACATAGACATGACATAATTTTTTTTAAGTTGGGAAACATTTTTTAAAAAAATATATATATTATTGTTTTTTTACAGAGAGGAAGGGAGAGGGATAGAGTTAGAAACATCAGTGAGAGAGAAACATCAATCAGCTGCCTTCTGCCCACCCTCCACTGGGGATGTGCCTGCAACCAAGGAACATGCCCTTGATTGGAATCAAACCTGGGACCCTTCAGTCCTCAGGACGATGCTCTACCCACTGTGCCAAACTGGTCAGGGAAACATGACATAATTTTTATGAGTATAATATGGAACCCAGTGCATAATTATATCACAAAATACCTTTTGTCCATTTTTTCAAAATATCCTATATAATAAAAGTCCAGTGACCGAACGGCAGAACGACTGGTCGACCAGTCACTATGACGTGCACTGACCACCAGGGGGCAGACGCTCAATGCAGAAGCTGCCCCCGGTGGTCAGTGTGCTACCATAGAGGGAGCGCCACTTGGCTGACCAGGATGAGCGGCTGCTCCCTCTGCAAATGCCAGGCCGACAGGCAGGAAACTGGGCTGCAATTGTCGCCTCTTTGCCCCAGGCTCCTCCTTCTTGCCCTAGGCTCCTCCTTCTCGCTCCCTGCCACCTCCTCTGGATGCCTGCAGGCTGTTCAGCGCTGCCACCATTGGATTCGCAGAGTTGACCCTGGAGGCTGGGAGGTAGGTTCGTGGTTATTCCAGGACTGAGGTCTACTCTGCCGCCTCTCAGTGCTATTTTCCCTGGACTCAGCCCTGACGGATCCCCTGGAGAGGTGAGTGCTCTGGCTCCACGTAGGATGCTGGACCAGGGAGCAGCCACTCAGAGAGCAGGTCCACAGCTGCTCAGCTGACCAGGATGAGCGGCGCTCCCACATGGGCCTATCCCTGCAGGCCATGTTCCCCACCAGTGCACAGATTTTGTGCACCGGGCCTCTAAAATATCTAAACTACACTAATAAAAGAGAAACATGGTAATTAGCGTACGACCGCTATCCTTCCCATTGGCTAATCAGCATATCCTTATGCAAATTAACTGTCAGCCAAGATGGCGGCCGGCAGCCATGCACTGAAGCGAACAGGGAGGCTTGCTTGCTCTAGTGACTGCGGACTCCAACATTCCCAACCTCACTTGCCGGCCTCTCAGTTGCAACTCTAAGCAACTATGTTGCAAATATAGAAGCTAAACAAAACCCCAGAAACCTGCGTTAGTCAGCCAGGCTTCAGCCAGCCGGACCGCAGCATTGTATCAAATACAGAAGGTAAAGGCCAGAAACCGGCTTTCAGCAGCCGAGGCCTCAGAGCTAAAGCTGGCCCAGAATAAAAAAAAGAAAAAAGAAAAAGAATAAAAGGAGCGGTTGGGAGTTTCAGTCAACCCACCAGCCTGAAAACAGCCCTCAGCCCCTCAGCCAGACTGGCCAGGCACCCCAGTGGGGACCCCCACCCTGATCCAGGAC